CTATGTTGAATGATTGGAGGCCTACTGGAGTTGGACGGGAATGATGTAATCAACAGCTAATATCTGAATCACATTTCGCAGTCAGCACCTGACGCGGATTACTTCCTTGTCGTATCAAGGTACTATGGATGCTTCGAAGATCGTGCAACACAAAAGACGTTATTACGGAAATATATTAGTAAGAATGAGTACAGAGAAAATAGTGTGACCACTACCGCATAGCCCAGTCCATGGAATACGATTAGTTGTCTTTGATTTTGATAGAATTCGATGATTTGTTCGATATTCATTGACCCAACTACCCAGTAACAGTTCACTGACTCTGCACGTTATTCTGCACCGGAAAAATGCTATTGAGTGGTGGATGAACGTGATTGTTGAATTATTTAGCGTTTTTCCGGCAAAATGTGTTTTCACCAAATGGTACCGCGTAGATTGTGCACAAAAATTATGTTTTGATTAAATCATTGATTGTGAGTGACTTAACAAAACTTCATATATTTCACAGAAAAACGTAGTGGTTTGGTTTAATGTAATAAAAAATAGTTTTTTAAATTGTTTTCTGTATTTAGACCATAAATTTAAATTTCTGTTGTTACACAGATTGTAAGATCCATTTTGAATGTTTTGTGTGCTTGTGAAAATCCTTCCATGTATATACTTGCACATTGTTCCTATTGATCCCCTTAGTTGTACGCTGTTGTCTTTTGATTACATTTGAATTGTTAATACTTGTATTTTTTTATTATAGTTTTTGTTTTTCTTACCGAACTGCATCTGTGCTGTTTTACTTGACACTTGTTCTTGGCGGTAGCCATATTGATTTGCTCTTCCTTTTGTGTGTTCTATCCAGTCAGGATAGAATAACGTTCATTTGTTGTGACTGGTAATTTTCCCTCATCTTTCATCAACTTTATTTATTGTAATTTAGATTTGATTGATTGAACCATTATTGGTTGAATAGCCGGGTGGTAATATTTGTTTAGGTAACGAGTTACATTTAAATCTATGATGAATTATAGAACCGCTATTTACCCGAGTACTTGTTTTGATTTCGACGGGCAAGGGCGCGTGTCTAACGTACCTGGACGGCTATTCATCTATCCAAACCGTAGTTTGGATTCTACAAGATAAATTATACAGGTTAACGGCCATTCTCCGGTTAAAACAGATACAGTGGAAGCTCGTGTAAGAAAATGACATTAGACATTAGACATTAATTGTTTAGACAGTAATTGAAAAATGACCAGATTACCAAGCCATTTTTCTTTTCAGTTGGTTATTTAAGAAAAGGTCGATAAGAGATAGCTGATTTACAAATCAACACTTTGAGTCACTAGATAATAGGGTAGATATAGATTTGTGATGCTAAATAGCTGGAACAATGTTCTGAACAATTTTTCTTGTCGTAGACTTTACTGTGCAGCATGCCTCTAAGGCAATTAGGACATTGAAACATATATACTTGAGGGCATGATGATATAACGGCTAGTATGTTAAATAATATAAGTGGCCATATGTTGTAGTGACATGTATATCCAATGAATTTTTGTAACAACAAAATAAAGACCACAACTTTTTCTTTATTTGTGACATTTTATGCGTAATAATATTTATGTTCAATATCTATTGTTTCTCTGTACAGTGGTAAAAATCGGATACGATTGATTGACTGTGCTAATACAAGACATATTGTGGGGCCCTTTACTTTGTCGTCATTTAAATCGGATGATGTATGTTGACGGGCTCTTCACCTTAGTGGCCCAAGTTCTGACCCCAAGGAGATCGCATGAATGACCGTCGTCGAAATATATATGTCGCCTATCCTCGTATATAATCATCGACTTGAATCGCGTTATCCAATAACGGAATTAAATAAGTCAAATAACGAGAATGGACTTTTGAATACATATATTTTGTGTATAAAGTGAATGGAATAGAGGGAAGAGAAACGACGCAGAGTGGAGATGGCTGGTAAGCCAACTCCCATTTAACCAAGCATTAATCAATATTTATAGTCATACAAAAATAGCTTACAGACATGTGATGAGTAATGGGATAAGAAGTGTACACACACCTGCCGCGCTCATATAAAAACAGTCAAGATTGATAAGCGAATAAATAACAAGGTCAGAATGTGACTCAAGTAGAATGAATAGAATGGGCTGTCCGTAAGCTAGAATAAGGTATATGGGCTTAACATAATAACCGACACTATATACACATTACCGCGATCATTATAAATGAGAGCTCTCTGTCGTCTGTTATTCTAATTTATTGGCCACGACTTGTGATTGAAAATTATAATACTGTTGGAGTTTTGGCCCGGTTTATTATCAAATAATACTATCGGCTATGTCTTTCTCATCACGCCAATGGTGTCACTGCATGCAGAGAAACCTTTGTTAATTAATTGAAATCATTTGCAGTTGTTATCCCAGAAGCAGCTTAAAAGTAACGTTTATTTTATAACAAGTGTTACCATTTTTTTACTTAATATACCGTTTCGTTGTAAGTGTCATTTGTTACTGTTCTGCTTGACTAGTAAAAAAAACACGGGTTTGTAGGGTTAATCTTTTTTTGTATATCATCGGTAACTGGGCGTATCGTTATATCTTGAATAAACGTTTTACTGGGATCTACTACAATGTCTCCTACTTCATACATTAATTGCTTGTTATACCAATATCTAGAAAAATACACTCATTATCGCCTAGACACAGACTGGACCGGCAACAGATGTTGAAAATTATTTTCTCATCAGCATAGAGTCAGTAGTATTTAGAATAATAGCATGAGCTGCAAATAGCAATTACAACATAAATGTTATTTAGGGATGGTAGATAAAAGATTTTGGACTACACCAGTGTACTCCACCACAACACTAGATTTGAAATGTCAGGTAAAAACATCGTCTATCTACCTATTTATTCAGACTGACTATCCCATTTATGATCTGTCAAGAATAAAAAGTGTGGAATAGTAAGAAACTATCTAACAAAAAACGCCTGTGTAGGTAAATTTCTTCGTTACCAACATACAGCTCATTCGGATGAATGAGACAAGGATAAATATGCGTTTCGAATTAAAACCATGAAGTGACTTTATATAACGAAAGAATCTTGAGGTATTTAAATGTTCCTAAACTGTTGTCATGAAATTCACTCATTTTTAAGTGAATTTGGATGTATTTGTGTTAAACAACGTTTGTTCATGTGATCTCTTTTGGTCAAACCGAGGCCAGAATTTCCTGTTTGTTTGCTCACAATGACCAGAACACGAAAAACATTGATGAAACAGAGCTCTTGGTAAAATAATATTCTTGTACATTTCAACCCTCACTTCTAAGCCATATCAGTAAGTGCTTCAATGTAGTCCAAGTGAAGTCTTGAACGTGAATCTAAGCCCTGAAATGGTATATCATCAACTGCACCATCTAAACAGGGATATACCTCCTGATCTAGACTTGGTTCACTCTGTCATGATGAGGGAAGCGGATTCAATATTTACAAAATCCATAAGTGTAATGTCCTTACATTCCGTATAGAGGGGCGTGGTTGCAGAAAATTAGAAGCTGATACACACCACACCATTTTCCAAAGAAGGTGGATGCAATAAACTTTCATACTATCACAAAGTAGTATTTCTTTATATGCACTCAAAGGTTATGGAGTGACTAATTTATGGAGGCTCATGGAAATGTCTAGTGTCTACTGACTTATTCTCACTTCACGGGCGCATTTTCAGAAATTGCCATTCCTGCACAACGAACCTGTTGACTGCAATAGCTAGTTGGATCACGATCCTTGACCGTAAGCGTAGGGTACGGATAATTAATCACACTTGCCTAATCAATAAGCCTAACCTAGTAGGCATGCCAAAACCGATAATTTTCTTGAGTCGGGGTACGTAATTTTCTTTCATGGGCTACGGAGAACCACAATTAGGTCTTACAGGGTTCAGTACGAAAACTCCCAATCTCTACAACCCTCAGAAATGATTTTCTTTTGTAAGTATCCCATGAGGTAATAATTATTTTGACAAATTTAAGCTTTGAAGGGAAGTTTGCAAACTGGATGATAAACTAGCACATCACTGGGATCTGAATTGAATCCAAATTTTTGTGGATAACACTGGATCTGTTTCATTGCTTCAAAGTGAATGAGTATCTACCTAAGACATAACCAATGTAATTTATCTAGAACTGTCACCAATTGTTGAAGATCTAGGTATCTTCCCTCTGATTATGTAAAGTCTTACAGTGACTACGACAAGAATATATTTAGGGTAAAGCTCGCAATCTCACTTTTTGACTGGTTTTGATAGTAAAAATCTTTATTTAATTTTTTGGGATCTCATTGAGGGTATCGACACAAATAATTTCATCCTTCAATCCCAAGCGAAAAGAATACGTGAGGCACAAGATCAATTTGAGGACTCAATTTCAGGCTTGTAATGAACCCAGTTAACAACTGGATCACAACCTACTGAAGTATAAGAGATTCGGAGGAGTCATTTCTATGATCTGCTGTTTCATAAACGCTCTTGATTATTCTCTTAAATACCTATTGAATCTCCAACATCTTTGAGTGTGAAACCTAAAGATCAGAGATGTAACATCGTAAGCGGAACTATAAACATACATGTGGCTTCCAAAAAGTGCCAGACCTATCTCCACATATTCTTAAGGGTTTAGGATAATATATATACCAAATAACCAATATTTCTATACCGTTTCCTTTACGCGTATAGATCCTTGTCTGAAGACATTCGCTAACTCCAGGCACGGATACTTATCAAGAGACAGTCTCTTTTATTGCTTCAACTGCCAATTTGAACAAGTTAAATATTATTATTCAGTAATTTGGAAGGTAATTTTAGATAAATGCGAAAACACCGATCAATAAACAAACAATTGATCAGTAACAAAGCTTCAAAGTTAAAATTCTAAAAATTGTCGTTACTTTACCAGTATATTGTTTTAATCCATCACACGAAATTTTGCTTGTGTGACCTGTAAATCCCGCAAGTCTCAATATGTGGACAGCTGAATCTGGAGTTGTACAGTTAGCGCGTAGATAAACAATCTCGTCAGTTTACCGTAATAATGTCGTCTAAGGCAAACGTAGTCTTAGAGACTTTGATTGTAGGTTTCTATTCAACATTTTCCCAGTGTTCAGATTGCTTTGATCTATTTCAGTGTAGTAGACTGTGACACATGTCCAGCAGACAGCTTTGCAAACTCCTTAGCAGCTGACCAGTTTAGTTGTGCGAAGAAGTGGTTGCCGGTCAAGCAGCTTCATTGGACGAAGAAGAAAAGAATACTGGTAATCCATCTTTTCACTTGTAAACTGCTGTTTTTTCGAGTTTTCCAGTGTTTGTCTGGCAGAGCTTCACTTTGTCCCGAGTTTTCAGACAGTATCCGAGGCTATAAAATAATAAAGCTGCGGATAATCGCTAGAAACTATTCTGTCTACATCTCATCGGTCAACCATGTTGTACCTCCAATTACCTTATAAGAAAGAATCTTACATAACTATGCTTTAGACATCTATTTGATTTTGTTTATAGACGGAAATAAAATATCGCGTGTATCACGTATTGTGCCAACAGGTTTTGGGAGATAAGATTCTTACTTCCCTATAAGGTTTATGTTTAACTTTATATAGTTTCACCTACTTATTTTACCCATGTATGTATATAAACATATTATGATATCTACAAATAACAAGAGGAATTTGTCGACATATTGTGTGCTGAAAAATCCATATTGCACAAAGCAATTATTATTGCTACCATCATGATTACTATTATGTTTTATTAATATTATTTGCATAATATTATTCTTTAACTCACCCAGTAACTCGTCTCTGTTAAAAGTTCTGTCCAGTAAGAGAGGTTTCGATTCACCAAGTGGTTGATTTTTGAATTTTATCACTGAGTAGAAAACCAATACAGGTTTCCTAAATCTATACATTTAACCCTACCTCTCCAATATATAAATTTCTATGTAAGTAGAATAACAGGTAGGTCCGGGTTTGTCTTTGGAAAGTCTTGATATTGGTTTGTGCTACATGTCTGTGACTAGTACTCAAAACTGCTATAAAGTAACATAGAATTCTCCTCCGTCTGTTAGTCAGAAAACACGTTTCACATGCTCATATCCGAAGGTCTTGTGACACTGGAATCCGATTTGGTTGAGGTCAGTATCGAATTACCCACCAGAGTTGATGCAGAACTAGTCGGGTGCATCTCTTCTGATAGTTATTTACATTTTCACAATATTACTTCTTTTTTGGGTAATTTTTGTGTGTGTTAATATTGATATACTTTAAATAAATGGGTAAACAAACGATTGTACAAACTCTAATTTCTATGGCCTAAATTTATACTAATCACTGTGAGCCCAACTCAAAACAATGTAAACAACAAGGTTAAACAAAGAATATTCGTTTGGTTTTTTTGACGTTTCTTTGTCCTGAGAACTGAATTAAATACACCATTATTTCTTACACTAGTGAAGCATTCTTCATTTATCATTGGTCCTGAAAAATATTCTTGAAATAAAACAGGAAATGATAAATTATGGTCACAACGTCGGTCATTTATTTTATAATCATGGTGCTGATGACTATTCGAACGCTCGAGAAATATGATGCTCTCCAATGGGCTGTGATACTACTTGGGTGCCCGAGCCGAAACAGGTTTGGGTCTTAATAAATCCATAACAGACAAACATAAAATTCTCAGTTTCGATAAAGTTACATTTTCAAGTTGGATGGTTTACCTATAGGGCTTTCGGTTTATTTTTCGACAGATTTTAGATAAAATTGAGTTATTCAGTTTTCTTTATATATGACTCACAACTTGTCCTGTTTATCTCAAATATGATTGATTAACTTCTATCAGTTTTTTCTTCTCTTATTAGGTAACCGGTGGTGCCGGTTTTGTTGGCTCTCATTTAGTTGATAAATTAATGCAAGATGGCCATGAGGTTATAGCTCTTGACAATTTTTTCACAGGAAAACGACATAATATCGAACATTGGATTGGACATAGTAATTTTGAACTTTTACATCATGATGTTACCAATCCTATATATGTGGAAGGTGATTATATTATCTGTGCTTATGTTTATAGTTGTTGCCTAATAATTTAAAACAATATTCTAAGGGTGTTTGCACCAAGAGAATTATGTATTTAAGAAAGACACCCAATCTGAAGAGATGATGAGATTCTGTTGAAATCATATAGATTATTAAAAACACGAAGTTCAGCGAAGGGATCTCTTTTCAACGAATTGGTCATCAATCTGTACGATCGTATATATATGAAAATTTTGTTTTCGTAAAAGTACTAATTCCGTTAGGAAATGTGAACACAAATAACCAAGATGGCGTAATGGGGAGATTATAATACTAGATTGCGTACTACGAATAATAACAATGGATTTAGTCACAATAATTAAAGGTCATAGGGGTGTAAAAATAAATAAGCTGATATGATGGGTATTTATGAATAAAATAATGAGAATATAAGGCATAATTATAGGGGAATGCAATAATAATAATAAGAAGAAGAAGAAGAAGAAGAAAAAGAATAGGATAATAATAAAGTTGAAAATAGATCCCTTCGCTGAACTTCGTGTTTTTAATGTTTAAATGGGAATTATCTGTCAATATCAATTATTGTTTGTGCAGAAAGTATTGTATTTTTCTTTCTAAAAGTGATAGTTTACAAAAGTGTATGTTGCTTTAAGCATTATTGAGAAATGTCGGCTTGAATAAAATACAAGCACAAAGCTTTTAGACCATCGAATCAACAGAATTCAACTCAAATTCACACATATGTGTAGTTTTAACTACAAACTTATATTAGCTGAATGGTCAGTGGTAATTTGTAAGGTGGTCTGACCAAACGTCTAGAGCACCTGTTTACTTACTTACGCCTGTTACTCCTCGTGAAGGAGCATAGGCCGCTCACCAGTATTCTCCATCCAACCCTGTCCAAATCAATCCTTTCCAGCTCCTTCCAGTTGTTATTCATCCTTTTCATATCTGCTTCTATTTCCCGACATAATGTGTTCTTTGACCTTCCTCTTTTCCGCTTCACTCCAGGATTTCAAGTTAGGGCTTGATTAGTGATGTAGTTTGATGATTTGCGTAATGTATATCCTATCCATTTCCATAATCTTTTCCTAATTTCCTGTTCAGCTGGAATCTGGTTTGTTCTCTCTCAGAGAAGGCTGTATCTAATGGTATCCGGCCAATGGATGTTGAATATCTTGCGTAGACAACCTCTTTACTTATGAATAAATATTACAATGAACCTCCCTAGTTTACATTTGTTTAAATTGAATGATTGTGAACACTAATTGTGTCTACTCATGAGCTATTATAAAAGACTTAGAAATTATTGCAATCATAAATATTAACGAACTTAAACCAAAAAACTTTATTTATTGACTTGAATGTCTTCATTATCTGTCATTCTAGGAAAATAAGTGGCGAACACATTTGAATTCATGCATTTCAGATAGGATAGATTGAAGAAACAGCTGTACCATATGAACTAGCAAAAAGCCTTTGCAATTGAAAATGAGTGGTAGATGCTGGTTATGGACAGACTTCATAAGATATATTTTTGAATAATTACAATTCGGACATATGTTAAGCACATATTTGTTGCGATATTACATATATGGTTCTAATAACACGTTATTGCAACAAAATCCAATAAATGAATGAAACTACTACGAAATTCAACATTACCTATAATTCTTATTACTGACATTTACCATATTTTTACTACCGACTAAATTCTGTTGAGAAGTCATGATCAGTGGAGTTTAACCATGTTGGATGTGGTCTTGAGTGCTGTTAGAGGTATGAGGGCGGTTATCACTTCCCGGTTGCCCACAATGTGGGAGGGTTCCTCTGGAGGTACCTGAAAAGGAAATCGGATTAGAAGGTGGTCTTAGTGACCTGAGAGCGTGACCGCAGTTCCCAAGGGACAACTACTTGAGGTCGGTCACATACGACCTTCTTATGGGTAATTTTTGTGTTAGCTCCGTACTTGTTGGGACCTTACCGCCGGAAACGAATATCCGTGGGATAAGGCAAGGTGTGCATTTTTAGGGTTGACCTTTTCTAACCCCACCCTCCTTGTGGGAAGGCAGCATCGCTGTCATGCTGGTTGTGTGAAGGAAACGCCTTACTGCTGTCACACCTCTGTACAGTCAGCAGTACGACTTCGCCTTCGAACCTTAGGTTTGGTTGGAAGAAAGTTAGGGGCGGCCAAACAAAAACGTGGCATCAGTGCTTGAAGTCACCAACTTCTAGTCTGAGCCATGTTGCTACCAACAGACTACTTGGTTGGGGTCCGCGTGACTATCGTAACTAATGGTTGGAGAGTCTTGGTGACATGACTCAGAATCGATCAGAATGGCGTCGGTGTATAAACTTTCTGTCCTCTCTTAAACTAAGAGAATAAAATCGCTTCATATCTTTTTTTCTACGAACTAATTCTTTCTTCCCGTACTATATTTTCATTGCAATCTTTCTTTTATATATTACCACCATTGAATTAACTACTTTTATTAATCCGGTGTCCATCTTGTTGTGTTAATGAGGTATGGCAACTTGGACCGATGCATATATGTGCCTGGTCCTACGTTGTAGCTGACTGACTGTTGGATGTGAGACATATATTACCAGTGGAAATGGACGATGGACATAAAGTTTCTCGAACTCATTGGGATTGGGAATGCAACCTATTATGTCCCAACCCTATGGTCTGAAGTTTAGGTTCTTCTCACGAACTTTAAAAGTTATGAATTGTAGATATTCATCGATGAGATGTATCATACTCGGATGAAACATCTATCAGGTGATCCACGATTATTTAAGGTTCTCTAACTCAAATCGGTTTGCGATGCAAAATTACGAACTCAACATCATGCTCAACTCACCTCTTCTATATTACCAAACCCATTTATGGTCATTGTTATGTATTACTGAAAAGTTCCCGCAAACTAGGACTAGACAGCTTTACATTTACACAAAATTATTTTTAACTAATCATCGAGTTAATAAACTAACTTTCATGAATAATTAAATAAAATTGTTAACAATGTCATGTTGATAAAATTTATGTATCAATCCTTTTTAGTGGATGAAATTTACCATTTAGCTTCACCAGCGTCACCTCAACATTATATGCATAATCCTATACGTACTATTAAAGCAAACACATTGGGTACTTTAAATATGTTAGGTAAGTTAAACAATTGATAATTAAACGTGTATTTTTTCTATATCATTTCTTATTACTGTAATTAATGTATTTTCATTTGAGTTTTTGATTTTGATGAAGTTTTGTTCTCCAGTTCCCGAATTCTGACAATAGATTTAGTTGGGATTTTATCTGTATGTTTCCGTGTGGGTGGATGGGGGTGACCATCTACACGTTAATAGGGAAGTTAATCGAACTAATAAATCACTCCTTTGTGAAATATATTAAACCCCTCACGACTGTATTTAAAGCACCTAGCTTTTTGTGCTACAATGGTTTTTAAACACTCAACTGATTGATGTTTAAGCGAAACTACAACGTCTAGCTGTTAGTAATGTGATGTTAAAATCAGTAAATCTGTAAAAGATGCCCTTATATTCAATGGTGGTAACAATCGACAACAAGTAGCAATCCACAAATTTGAAATCAAGAATGAATGGTAACTGAAAATGTTGGTTCACTAACTTGATAAACTTTAACCAGGACGTGATGCATTTCTTGGATTCAGATGTTGAAAATTTTCCAAACTATAATCACTTTTTAAGTGTAGGAAAAATCAATGCTTACTTACTCCTGTTACTCCTCGTCGAGGGGCATAGGCCGCCTGCAAGCACTCTCTATACAACCCTGTCCAAAGCAATCCTTTCCAGCTCCCTCCAGTTGTTATTCATCTTTTTCATATCTGCTTCTATTTCCTGACATAATGTGTTCTTTGACCTTCCTCTTTTCCGCTTCACTCCAGGATTTCAAGTTAGGGCTTGATTAATGATGCAGTTTGATGATTTGCGTAATGTATATCCTATCCATTTCCATCATCTTTTCCTAATTTCTTGTTCAGCCGGAAGTTGGTTTGTTCTCTTCCAGAGAAGGCTGTATCTAATGGTATGCGGTCAATGGATGTTGAGTATCTTGCATAGACAATTGTTTATAAATACTCATACCTTCTTGATGATGGTTGTTGTAGTTCTCCAAGTTTCAATGCTTATATACTTATATATTTTAATTGAATACAGTCCTTAATATATCAAAAGCAGGAGGGCACAACATGAGTTTAGGTTTCAGTGTAAACATCCATACTATTATCTAGGTAAGTTTAGTGGATGAAACCGATGTTCGAGGGAAACTCGCGCCTTGGGTTTGATTGCTAGCTAGCTATAATTTAAATTTCCTATTTGAAGAAACAGTTTATGCATGAATTATGCATCGAATGAAATTATCAAGTCAAACCTCAGTAATACTACTTACATAATACATATATTGGATGAAATTCATTTAATTATTTGTACTTTTGAGATGGTGGAGAAGATTTGTAGGTCACTTGCGTGATTTTGTTGGAGTTTTGTTCACTGAGCTGTACAACCAAACCATCCAGCTTAGAGAATAAAACTCCATGAATATTTGTACTTTTGTTGTAAACAATAAATTTTCTAAAACTTAAAAAAAAAAACAAAAACAACTCATTATCTCAAGACTAACAAAATGAAAACCATTATAACAATAAACCTATATTATATTGTTAGGTTTTATAAATGCACGGTTTTATACTTTACATTTTACCCTTGTTCATTCCTTATCTATATTGTATTCTTTATAGTTTAGATATAATTCAACAGTTTTCTTTTTCCATTGGCCAATTACACGTAAATTGAAGCAGATGTAATGTTAGGTCAAAAGTATAGATAGTAGGGTTTAATATATAGTTGTACGGTGTACGGTGGCGCAACTTCGTGGATTGGTTGAAGTTAGACATTAACACCGTTGGATGCCGGCTCAGTGGTCTAGTGGTTAAGTGCTCGCGCGCGAAGCCAGTAGGTGCTGGGTTCGAGCCCCGCGTGGTGCGGGGTCGTGGATGCGCACTGCTGAGGAGTCCCATACTAGGACGAAACGGCCGTCCAGTGCTTCCAGGTTTTCAATGGTGGTCTAGCTTCAACTGACTCATGATTTCAATCTGTGAAATTTCTAAAATCTCCACAAAACCCATTCTGATAATATAGTTTTTAAGTTGAAGTTCTGTTTCTGTGTCAGTGGTTCTGTTCAAGTTTATCTTTATTTTTACACAGGAAATTATATTTGTAAATTTCTGAGGAGTTGTCCTAAAATATGAACAAAACACTGACTTACTTATGCCTGTTACTCTTAATGGAGAATAGACCACCAACCAGCATTCTCCAGCCCACTCTGTCCTGGGCCTTCTTTTCTAGTTCTATCTAATTGTTGTTCATTCTTCTCATGTCTGAACAAAATAGCTACCCAGTAAATTATGTTTCTTGAATTGATGCTATTTATTTGTGTAAATTAATATGATATTCTAATAATAGTCAACATTAGATACAGTTTTATATGGTCAATTTAAAAAATCGAACGTTATTAACAGTATTGGAAAGATAGATAACGGTATCTAGTAGTCAATTAACTTACGGATGATCTGTTATATGACATACGACTCATTGATGATGACTATGTGACTGTGTTATACATGTCAAAACCTCAGTGACAGAATACATCTCAAGGTCGTGGCAACGAAAGCCCTTTTAACTTGAATAAAAGTAAATAATTTGCTATACAACTATAATATAAGGAAAAGCCAATTAGGATAGAGTAAACAACTCGGTTTTTGCACAAAATTTAAAAACGAATAACTTGTATTTTACATCACATGAAAAGCAAAATAGAAATACCTTTTTATAATGCTCAAATTGACATCATTCCCTGAAGTCACTAACTTCTGGGCTGAGCCATGTTGATAGATGCAGCTACTTGGTTGGGGTCCGCGTGACTATCGTAACCAATGGTAGGAGACTCTGAGTGACATGACTCAGAATCCATCACAATGGCTTCGGTGTATACACTCTTTGTCTTCCCTTAAACCGTGGTATTAAAATCGCTTTATAGCTCTCTACGAAATAATTCTTTCTGTACTATATCCTTATAGACAATCTTTCTTTAATACATTACTACCATTGAAGTGACTACCTCTATGGATTTGGTGTTCATCTTGTTGTGCTAATGAGGTATGGCAACTTGGACTGTTTATTTATTTTAACACATAGATATTGATACAAAGGGGCACCAGATATATATGCGCCACACAACTTGGACTGATGTGTGTATGTGCCTGGTCCTACATTGTAGTTGACTGACTGAATGTTCAAACTGTTTAAAATTACTAAGAAAAATTTCTTTTTGTTATTGTGGAGTGATTATAAGCGTTGAACTTGTGAGATGTTTGGTTGTGCATAGCATGTAGACCAACGGGTTTTCGTTTCGCTTTACTTTGTCTCTAAGAAATCTTTTTATTGATGTTGACTGAATAATAAGTGAAGTAGCGAACTGTGAGTGCTAAAATAAATGACAATTTCTATGCATCACTTCATTTCACTGTCGTGAATATATTCACAATCAAATAAATAAGATTATGTAATCATACTTTTGCAGTATTAAGATCGAAAACAAAATAAGCCTTTAAAAACTAGTAAACTTTCTAAAATCAGTAAACTATGAAAGGTTTCATGGGTGTCCTTACATTATAGTTACACCCATTTTAGAATTATCCTGTAAGTATTGTATCAATCTATTCTAATAACCCTATTATTGATTGATTGTCCTTATCAATCACTAACATGCTTATTAGGATAAATTGATATAACATCTTTTGTGTGTAATTATCTAGTGGCCATTTTTATTTGAAATAGGCATTGATTGTCTTGGTCTAGAAATCCTGGGTCCCACCTGTTGTGCGGTTTCGGGTGCCCACTACTGAAGAGTCCCAAATTGGCCAAAATAACCATCGACTAATGCTTGTTGATCCCAATTGTGTTTCCAACTTTAATCAGTCCTTGATGTCAACCTACATATCCATTGATACCATCTGATAAATTTACGTATTTCAAAGTACAAAAAACAAATAGAATAGGATTCTTGTTCCTATTTTTATATGCATCTCAAAGAATCCAAGACTAATGGACTCATATACAGTCAACACTGTAATCATTCATCATTTACTTCCAATATCATATGATTTCGATACTTCTAATTTTATTAAGAATAATAAAATCAAGCAAGAAATCTTAAACTTCCTGCTTTTTGCCTTTCACAGTACGTTTATACTCACTGAGAATAGAGTATTATTCATCAATTTCATTATTAGGCTGATGACCACAGCTTCCATTATTTTTACTGGATGGCTTTTAAAACTTTTTTCTTGTTTAAATCTTACTCATTTCTAATAGACAATCCATCATTGGTTTTAGCAAGTCCTTTATGGTTAGATAATTGTAGGTATACCTGTATACCAAGGTTTCATGCTATTTGTTACTCGTCAGTAACCTCGAAGGAACTGGTGTCCCCTAACGGACGTGATTCAACTTCACCTAAATTCATTGTTTGTAACGAGAAGACTGAGTTATTCGGGCTACGATTGACCTTCTGTAGGACTGTGATGCCATGTTTATCTAGTCTTTTAGTGTTGATTGAACCTTGTCGATTACCACATTACAACCTAATGAATAGAATTCTACCAACAGTAAATGACTAGACAAACATAACATTAGTCACTAATCACTAACTAATCAATTGTAAATCTCTTTATTCAGTAAAATTTGTAGTACGATCCGATCAATCAAATCAGATTAAATGCAGTTTTACTCAACGGTCGAAAATTCAAATTCTTGGATACTACAATTAAGTCCATTATTCTGCATTCACATTAGATTTGAAATAGTTAAGGTTTCAATTTAAATACTAATCTAGTTATATACAATTTCTAATGTTTCTTTCTGTTTCATATTTCTTTTATTGTTCATCTATTAGAGTATACTTACTTACGCCTGTTACTCCTCGTGGAAGAGCATAGGCATATAGGTATAGTATAATGTGTAAAATAAGTTAACAGATAAAGTTTTTTTATACATTGGATTATTGACTTATATATCATAATATCATTGTGTTTGTATTCAAAATGATTTTGTTTTTTCTTCCTTCTTTGAAATGGTAGGATTAGCTCGTCGTACAAATGCCAAATTTTTATTCGCTTCTACTTCAGAAATTTATGGCGGTTAGTTTGAAGTAATTTTTATGAAATTGTGAAAGTATTTTTACAATGTTTATTGATCCGATCTAAGTTGTTTACATTGTGGAATATGGGATCTTTCATTCGGAAGACCCTTGAAAATTCTTTTTCCCCAGTAGCATTCATTTGCTAAATACATATATATCAGGACACTATCCTAAATATAAGTCAGTCAACAGCCCAATCTTTGGTCACATGATCAACTCTGATCAAGTGCTTCCATGAGGATCATTGTTCAGGACTATCTCTACTCATTGCCTTCTCGCGGCACTACTGTTGTTTATGAAATTGAGAGGACGCAAAGCGAATGTCCGACTCTTTAACCTGGTTGGTGGGTATGGAGGATCCAACTAGGGGATTTGGAAAACCCTGATTCTAAACTAATGGTGCACATTGGCTCCAGTATCCTGAGGGAACAAAAGGCATATAAACCAATTATTGGTCAGCGGCTACCATGGAACTGTATCTCCTTACGTTGTTCCACTGCCTTGTGGATCAGACCTTTAGTTCGAAGGCTCTGGATGTGGCCCCTTAAGAAAACCACCTGCTTCGGTTTAGGTACCCGCGCAGTATTCCAGCCTTCACACAAATTGAATGGTTTATGTGGTGCATATCTGTTTGGTGCCTCATTGTACCAATGTTTATGTGTCTAAATAAATAAAATCAAAGAATGTTCGCACATGGCTGACTATACCAATCCATCAATTTTAACCTGATATCTATGTGTAATAAGGAAATATTCTACCATGGTCTCAGTACTCCCTTCTGATTGTGCAAATAATTAATGCCAATTATGATCTTATTCTTCGCTGTCTTTATATTTACAAGGTAAACAGTTATCTTTTGCATTTTTCTTTAAATTATTACTTCTTATTCCTCCTAAGACTATTACATAATTTCTGTTCAATACTTGGAAGCCTTTGATTAGTTTATTAAATAAAGCAATACCCTTCTACTTCGTTATAGACTATCACATGTAAATGTCGATACAGTTGTACAGCTTAAGTAAAGGTTATCACTGAAAAACAAACTCTGAAATATTTTCATTTTGTTGAATCGTCATTGCTTTCAAGCTTATTATGTCGATCGTTTATTTTACTGAATTGAAGGTTGAACTCATCACTTACTCCCTTCTGTTGTTTAAATCAAAACACCTTAATACTTATTTGAGAAGTAAACATGATGGTATCTGAATCACACAGTTTATCACCCATTATTTAATATGATCAATGTTGTTTTAAGTGTAATGCCTGACTATTTCTTTAAAAAAAAAACTCGTATACCAATAGAATATGGTCAATTTGATAATATAAAGGAATAAATAAATTTCAATAGTTGTGATCATAAGTCAATTGAAGCTAGATCACCATGGAAAACCTGGAAGCACTGAACGGCCGTTTCGTTCTATTGTGGGACTTCTCAGCAGTGTGCATCCACGATCCCGCCTCGCGAGATTCGAACCCAGGACCTACCAGACTCTCACGCGTGCGCTTAACCACTAGACCACTGCACCAGCCGGCATCCAACTATGTTAATGTCTAACTTCAAGTAATCCACGAAATTGAGCGACACATCCACTAGTGTCATCAGTGAGTTACTATCTCACAACAGACTAGGTTGAACTCCACTGATCACTGTTTCTCACTAGAACTTGAGGAAATACCTCTTGAAACCAAACCAGTCTTTAGTGAGCATATGTTGATTAGTATCAGAAAACTTTTCATTATATAACACCTTAGTACAACATTAATGCGTAAAACATCGACTTTGTATGATCGATTTACATAAAGTGATTGGTTGTTTATTTAACTTGTCAATGGTTGTTTTATTATTTTTTTTTTAAGAAGATAGTCTACACATACAAATAGTTGTTATGTAACATTAAACAATTAACAGATTATCAATTAGTTTAATTACTTGTTTTATTAGACAATTATTTAGTGTATTTTATAATGAATCAAAGCAGTCTTCTAATTAATTCAAATAACCCACCCATAGTGTCATTGAATAAGAAAAAGAGAATTCAGCAATCAAAACTTTCTTTTCAATGAAATCATTTCCTTAAACTGCACATTCATATTTATAGTTATATGGAAGATACATAAGTCTGTAGAAGGATAGAAAAGATTCGAGACTCTTATTATCGAATGCGGTTACACAATAATCAAGGGTTAAGAAAAGAATATAAGGATGAAAATAATTTACGGGTCAGATAATTGTTCAATTGACAGATATGAAGAAAAAAACGACGAACATAAAGGTCATAATGATAATTGATTACATTCACTTGGTATTGTTTGGCTTGTATCTTCCCATTGAGGTTTAAGACTGCAATTGATCAGTCTGTTATTAGCATATGTGAATTTAAATTCACCCCATTGCACATGCAAGTGGCTATCAGGACCCAGTAGCTGAATGGATAACGCGATGGCGTTTGAAGCGAATGGTACTGGGTTCGAGTCACAGAGTGAACATCAACTATGAGATGCAGGTACATCCAGCTGACGAGTCCCAAATAGGACGAAACGCGTGTCCTGGATTCCACTGCTAGCCACTATCCATCATTGCTTATAATTGATTACGGTTAAAAATTAAGAAACACTTATTTAAGGAATCAATAATAATAATAAAACAAAAAAGGAAGAAAAAACCGAAACGTTACTAATAAAGGGAATTAGGGCTAAGGAAGGATAAAAGGTTGGACAAATCGTTTTTGCACGTAAGGTTCGAGCTTGAGTTCGTGGATTACCAATACCCTCAGAAGTACATAAAAGATTGAATCCACACCCCTTCTATCTAATTATTTGACTCTGTAGATTATTTTAAAAGAGGAATCCTTTGGAGCGATGTGTCCACAATTAATTAAATGCTCCTGTATCGAACTAGTAATTGTTTTACATTCACCTTTTAAAAGCTAAGCCGGATAGTGTTCTGAGATGGATTTGGAATGTGATCGCTTTGTGCGGCCTATGTAACAATTAATCCTTATTTAAAGGAAATGACTTTAAAGTAACTATAGAAACCTAGTGATTCATTAAGAAAAAAAAAGAAAGACGTCTTTTCAGCGAAGAAAAGTTTCTCCTCAACAATACCATTTTCCTATGATGTACAATTGCATTTATAAGTAATTTTTTACATCTAGTAGTCTATGATAAAATAGAGGAGTGTTATACAATTTTAATAGTTGAGATTATGAGTCAATTGAATCTCGCGAGGCGGGATCGTGGATGCACACTGCTGAGGAGTCTGACAATAGAACTCAATGGCCGTCCAGTGCTTCCAGGTTTTTCATGGTGATCTAGCTTCAATTGACTCGTTATCTCAACTATTATATTTACCATGATATCCACAAAACCCCTTCTGATACTAATTTTGTTATATAATTATCAAGGATGGTCAAACTTACTTAAGTTTCAAATGTAAAAGTCTATGAAGATGAAGTGGTTTTGCATAATTTAATTAAGTAATCAAAGATTTCAAGTAATAAATATGATGGTCTGTAAATAGAAAGGCGGTACTTCAATGTAATTAAAGTTATCGTAAGTTTTCAAGTGTTGAATAGAATAGGTGTTTAATCGTTTAGCAAAGTAACCAAAAATTTAAAACAATTAGTCCCTTTGATAAATTTCGATAATGATATTAGAAGACGAAGATTATCAGAACTATGTGATGACATATTAGCGCAATAGATTTCGAACAATCTGGTCACACATATACTTGTTAAGAGCATTTATATATAAAAAATAAAAGGTCAACTAGACAGGAAACGGGGTAAGAGGAGATAAGGATAATGATAAGAGTAATAATAATAATAATAATAATAATAATAATAATAATAATAATAATAATAATAATAATAATAATAATAATGTGAACACAAAGCGAAACCTAATCACTTTGGATATTAAGTCAATATTACCAGGGTAGGTTTAAGGTAAGGTCACATCCCACTGTGTTTGCCAACTTAAATCCGTGTGTGGTCACACATACATAGGGAGGAGTAATCGTGATCTCAACATTAGAGTGAGTGAACATGCACCCAAATGGCTTCAGAAACAAATACAATCAAGTGACCCAATAAGAGCAGAGGATAAACATTCATCATCCTCTATTGCTAAACATATAATTAAAACAGGTCACAAGATTGATCTAAATTCAGCTTTCGTAGTGTTGTATAAAAGTGTAAAAGGGCGTATACTAAGGTTTATTGAAGCCTTAGCCATACGAAAGTTCTTACCTTAAACCTACTCTAGTAATATTGGCTTATTATCCAGAGTGATTAGGTTTCGCTTTGTGTTCACATTATTATTATTATTATTATTATTATTATTATTATTATTATTATTATTATTATTATTATTATTATTATTATTATTATTATTACTCTTATCATTATCCTTATCTCCTCTTACCCCGTTTCCTGTCTAGTTGACCTTTTATTTTTATATATAAATGCTTTTAACAAGTATATTTGTGACCAGATTGTTCGAAATCTATTGCGCTAATATGTCATCACATAGTTCTGATAATCTTCGTCTTCTAATATCATTATCGAAATTAACCAAAAATTATCAAGAAATATGGTCAAGGAAGCCTATTTTATCATTGAAGAAGAATGATAGGAATTCAGTAGAGAAAATTCTTTCTTCAATCTACGTGCTCATTTGGGGCAGATTATATTTGTTCCACAAAGCGAGCTTTCGAAATACTTCTCCAAATGTTACCTTACCTGACTTTCTATAGGAATACAAATGTCAGTCAAAAGCTCAGTCTTGAAACATCTAGTTACTTCCGGCCTTTCCTTTTCACTACAATCCCCTTTCAAAATTATACATACAATCAGAAGAGTCCGCTCAAAAAGAATGCAAATAAAAAAACTTATGTATAACAGAGGCTATTTTTAACCACTAATTCAAGACTAACGTTTGCTTACAAAAAGAGTATGTCCAATCCCTCATTGTTTCATGGTCTTAACCTTCCTTTGTATCTTCCATAATCTATGGTTTTTTTAAAAAAAAAAGACTTTCTACTCCTTTTCAATTTGAATAATGCTCCATAAAGGGAACCAATTACATGAAATTTCTAAAGAGTCGCCTCCTTTCCAATCATTTTCACACCTATTAATTAGCCATTATTATAACTTTTAATTATTTTGTTCTTAATAGCTATCAAGTGAAGAATCATCTTCACTTAAGCACTTCTCACTCGGCAATTTTTACATAACATCCTATCTGATTTTCGTAGAAGTTTGTTCTAATAATGTTGTTCAGAAGAACAATGAAAGCTCCACGACCAAACCATCCATCTACCTGAGCTACAAATCTTCTCCACTACCACATCAAGTTTTCTTTTTGATAATTATTCAACACTATTCTATTTTACTATAGACTACTATCTTTATAAAGTAAACTCATCATGAAGACGATCATACAGCTTAAGTAAATGAATTAGTAGAAAAGAAAGTTTTCTTCACTAAATTACATTCATGTAATAGTTTTGGAAGTAATAAGAATAAATAATAGGATAAATGCAAAAGCCTACTGTCTTCTGTGTTACCATTTACAATACTAGGAGAGGTGTTAAGACCATGGAGGAATAAGAGAGATTGAACACTACTCTCTTCTTCACAGAGATCGGGTTTGAAATAATGAACTACTATTAGCTTTGTACAATTTTTTTTGCATTTGTAAAATTGAATAAAGAAAGAATAAATATCTTAGCAGAATAATATGAATTCGTTTATTTCGTGAATCTTCGTCAACTGCTTACAACTGAAAACCATAGGAATAATAAGTAAAACGAAAGTGTAAATGCTTTACATCGGAAAAGTCTTGAATTAATTGAGTTAACATGCAGAGATAGAATGTAGTATGGGAATTTTGTTCCAAACCGAAGATAGATACTTAAAAGCCCAGATATCAGCAATTACAATCATAGTTATAAGAAAAATAATTTCAAGTGTAAGTTTATTCCCCATCCAAACTTTTTTTGATCCAGTCCTTTTAACTTTATAGACGACCTTGAATGACGATTCTCATGACGATGTGTAGCTAGAGGTGGTCATGTGTTAAGGGATTGAGCTGTTTCAGCCGAGCACTATCCTGCATAGCTATTTAAAGGGAAAGAAATCCTAGAATATCAAAGTTGGTTTTCTGTACTGATTAGGTAATTTCTTATGGAGCTCCTTGGGAGATCTTACAAATACCCTTGACTGTGGCCTGAACCTTATAAAGTACTCTCGATATTTCAGATAAAGTTTACATCAGGATACTTTTCTTGTAATTAAACTTTCATACCATGTCATACTCACTACATAGTTGTAAAAGAGATATGATTATGCATTTTAAATTTCATACAAACTGGTGCAAGTTATGTATTGTCGGATTTTGATTTTCTCACAAAGTAGTATTATCTTTCATACTATAAATTACACACTCAATATACTAGCTTATGTAAGCGTATTAGTACTCCACTTTCATTGTGTTTTTTTCTTTTCCACAATCAAAGATCCTGAAGTTCACCCTCAACCTGAATCCTACTGGGGTAATGTAAATCCAGTTGGTCCAAGAGCTTGTTATGATGAAAGTAAACGACTTGGTGAAACAATGACTTATGCTTATTTTAGACATGTAAGTTTAATTTTTATATGTAATTCTGTACAGCCCAATATGATGAATATCAGTAATTCATCATTATATATGGAGCAATTGTAAGGAGTTAGGCGGTCGAGTATATATTATTTGTAGTTTTGTCGCTGAAACTTTTTTACTGAGATATAATTTCATTTTTAAATTTCTATCAAATTCAAACTATCTCCTGCTGCTCAGCAGGTGTACAGAACAAGCTGTGAAACACATATGGAGAAATTCGAACACTTCACTTCTATCTGAAGTTTATGCTGATGATGTCGTTCAGAAGAACGATGAAAGCTCCACGACCAAACCATCCAACTCAGAGAACAAAACCCCATCAGACCATCTCCTTTCTGGCTACCAACTTGATTCCTTGTGTACTTAGTTATTTGAAAATATGTTATGTAAGTTCAACTACATCTGGCTGATGTAGAAGCAAGTTGAAAAAAAATTGGAGACTGCCAAATCAAGTTGTAGCTTGAATCGACGAGACCATCAACCTATTGGTTTGACCCATATTGGTAAATGTATACTGTCTGATTGAAATCGGTGGAGTATAAATGATCAATGATTGGAGACGTTGGGTGACCTAGCTCAAAATAAGTCTCAGTGGCATTGATGAATTTATTCTCTATCTTCACCCAAATATTGTGCTTCAATATAATTTCATTTTTTTATTCCCTTCTATTATCATTCACTTTTTTGAAATCCGATTCTCTGTGTTTAGACTTTGTCATGTGTATGTTAGTCACATCCGAGTTATACTTCAATCACCATGTAATTCGTACCTTGATGTTGTAAGAAATAGGCCAAACATTATTGTTCTTGGGTCATGATATATCACTTAATGACTGAAGTATTTGAAATGTCTATTCACTGCTTAAGTTTCATAATTGATTTTACAGAGTAAAGAGATGGTGAATAGATATCTGTTAGTTTGAATGTTGTCTTTATCTTAGTTTTTTCTTTAGGCTATAAAATAGTTTTCATATCGGTAGTAGGAACTTCCAACTGAGTAACTTATTACGGAGTAGGATTCAATAAAGGAATTTTTAGGTTGTTAAGTTGGGTGAATCCAATACTGATCAGTAAATAAATGCAGCAATGATACGACGTGGTCGGGTGATGTCTGCTCACCAGAACAAATTATTTACGTAACCCTCTAACTTTACAGATATCAGGAGATGAGGTAGGTGCTCAGCAGAAAAGGATTTTTGTGTTATAAGACAACAAGTTTATATACAAAATATTAACAGGGAACTAAACATGTTTTATTGTCGTAGACGATCAGAGGAATTCAATTTTATAGATCATGCACCCTTCAACCAATATATATATATATATATATATATATATATATATATATATATATATATATAGTTTTTATCTTTAAGATTAAACTGATTCGGTTTAACTAATTCTTTCTCTTTGTATGGTTAAACATTTCTTTCCATCTCAAGTTACCAGTGAAAAGGTAGTTATTTTTGATAATATAATCTAAGGATAAGGTTTACTGTAGTAAACATGAATAAATTGGTGATCATACAACATAACTGAGTAGCCAAGTTTAGGCTTGTGGACGTGACTGCAAGTTACACCTGTTGTTATTCGAATAAACGTACTGCATACATTTTTAAAATCGTGACAGGTAGAGAGGTTTGTTTACTCTTATTGTGGTGTGCGCTGTTTATACGGACAGATATAAATAGTATTTAGCAGCCATTCGAAGTGGAATACTTACTAGCAGAAAATCGAATTGAAGAGAACAGGAAGGCAAACGAAGAATAATCGAAATAACAACAGGATTGGAAGAATGATGGAGTATGTCAAGGACAACTTTAAGAAGATATACAAATGATGTATTTAATGTATGATTTTCATATTTTACGAAGTCACTGTATGATTTTGCAGAAAATAATAAATTGGTTTACCATACCTGAGTCTTCATTCACTAAACTATCACACATTCAACTAAATCATTTAATCATAAATTTTGGTAACGGTAAATGAACTAATATTGATTTTAATTTAATAGTTGAGATCATGGGCCAATTGAAGCTAGACCACCATAGAAAACCTGGAAGCACTGGACGGTCGTTTTCTCCTATTGTGGGACTCCTCAGCAGTGCGCATCCACGAGGTTAAGCGTTCGCGCGCGCGAGACTGATAGATACTGGGTTCGAATATCTTGAGGTGGGATCGTGAGATGTACACTGCTGAGGAGTCCCACAATAGAACGAGACGGCCATCAACTATTGAATTAATATTGATAGTATTTTACTAATCTAATTGTTAAACTTACAGACAGTTTATTTGTTATTCAATTGAATTATGTTTGTAATTTTATAATTTTCTATTATCAATATAGCTTAATCTTCCTGTTAGAGTTGCTCGTATATTCAATACATATGGACCAAGAATGCAAGTTAATGATGGTCGAGTGGTAACTAATTTCATTGCACAAGCATTAAACAATGAATCGATTACGGTAATTAATCTATGTATTTATTATATATTATATATTATCACTTGAAAGGTCATTTAACTAAAATCTATGTGGTATTTATTTGTATATTTTTTTTGTATATGCATTAGACAGACATGATGACCAGTACACCATAGTAACGACTAAATGTTTATTTGGAATTTCAGGATAACCTTAGAGTTTAAAAAGATCTGGTATATCTGTAAATAAATAATAAACGGAAAATAAGCCTAATGAATGTGTGTGTGTGTGTGAGTGAGAGAGAGAGAGAGTGAGAAAGATAATTAATTTACTGATAAAAAATCGATAACATGACAAACTAACTAAAGAGTGGAAAGGTAAATGTTATATCTAGATCTTAGATACTTGCTATACCGCGTACAATTTTAGCTTGAGCATTTGGACGTTTGAATCTTCCAAATCATAAGTTAGAAGACAGGAGACTAGTGAGAAGGAATCTTATTCCATATAGTGTCAAATATGGTACAGAACACTCAGGTATTTATAGTTTTTAGTAAAAACGAAATTGTCGTTACAGTTATCCAGTCTATGTGTAGTGGTTTTTCACAGTTGTCCAATCGGAAAACCATACGTTGAGATTCTGGAATGTTCTTTCAAACGATGACTGAATAGAATGTCTTCGGCTCTTTCAGAGCTCCCTTAAGTTCACCAGAAGCCGCTCCCCACAGTAAACTATGTCATAAGTGACATATTGAAAAAGGTACGGTAAGATATTCTTCCTAAATGGACTAAATTTTTATTAAATTTATGTTTTCTGATCTGGTGTTTTAGTCGTGAAGCTTTAGTTATCTTTTTAAACAATTCCGCCATCATCACAAACTTCTGATGGAAGTGGGTTCTGGAATCCTTTCTGCAAGGGACTAGCGTCTTGTTCTGTTGACTATGAACCAGATTAATTATTATTAATACTTGTCCTATCATTGTCTGCATATTCATTTACATTACCATACCCTTTACCCTCTGAGCAGTGAAAATATGTAGAGAATAAATAAAATTGTGTTGAACTGTTGTACCCCATTCATTAAAAAAACTAGACAAATAAATTAAATCACAAGTGGTGGTTGGAGGCTGTCGACAGGACACCCTGGAACTAAGTTTTGTGCTATATGGCACTTGCCAGCAAGATGTACCTGTAATCACAATGTACCCAGAATACTGAACTGCATCCAATAATGTACAAGTCTAATCATCATCAATTGCCTAATGTAAGTAGCTGTCTCAGACCCAACATGGTTGGACCCCACTGGTCGCGGCACAGTGGTCTAACAGTTCAACGCTCGCGCGCGAGATCTAAGATCTTGGTTTCGATTCGCGTATGCGGGATCGTGAATACATACTGCTGAGGAGTCCCATCCTAAGATGAAGTGACTATCCAGTGCTTCCAGGTTTCCAGCGGTAATGTAGCTAATATCTGTTCGTGATTCAAATTATGAAAATTCTACCATCTTCACGAATCTCCGTATGCTACTAATAATCATGTACTCACTAGTCACTAACTTCAAGGTGCATCTCCTATGGTTCTAGTGGGAAGCTGTTGCCGACAGAGCTCAACTATATTGGATGTGATACACCTATCCACCTCAGGCAATGGATGATGGTTGCGCAATATCGTGAGTTGATTTAAGTTAGACATGTACATTATTGGATCTGCTTTAATATTCTAGATATATTGTGATTTAATAGAGTTATGAATGAGGTAGAACAACTCAATACAATTGTATTTTGGTCTGCATGTTTCTACTGCTGGAAGGTTAAAGAGAAATAGTTTTTTTATTAAGTAGCTTGTTGCATTCACTTCTAGTTTGAGAGGCTTAGAGCCATGGCAGAATAAATTTGGCCTATATTAATGGTATTCAGTATTGTTTTCGCAATATCATTTATGAATAGACGCTCAAAAATGAGTTTTCACGTTGTTTTCTCCGTGTTGATTTAAAGGTACAATTAATCACGATATTCAAATGGAACTAATTATCTGATAATTGCATAGCAATTTAAATCACTGCTTCAAGTATATAGAGTAGTGATTAAATTAGATAAGTTTCATAATGGGAAAACTTTTATCATTAAAATGTTTGCTTTTAAAGTCAATTTAAGAATTTTAGCCAGCCTTTTCATATGTGGAATTCAGTAAATCACAATTCAATTATCATCCAAGATGAAAATGTCAAATCAGTGCTACAAACAAATTAGTTTCTAATTATAGAACTATTCATAGTTGCAATCATCTCATTGATAATTCGAGATTATCACCACTGATAGTTACATAGAAAAAAACACTCTTTTCATGAGGAAACAATTTATATTGATGTCGTAATAAAAAAAATCTCAGTATTCATTTATGTGGTGCCCCTCCTGAAGTTAAATCAGTATTCGTACTTGAACAACTTCTCCTGACCTAGAAAATTTCCGAAATATCATTTCAACTACTTATTAACAGTAACTAGTAATAAAAAAAACTAAGAATTTTTTGATTGAGATCATGAACCGATTGATGTTAGACCACTATTGAAAACCTGGAAGTACTGGACGGCCGTTTCGTCCTATTGTGGGACTCCTCAGCAGTGCGCATCCATGATCTCGCTCGCTGGATTCGGGCCTTCAGTCTTGCGTGCGAACGCTTAACCTACTGAACCACTGAGCCGGCCGGCATCCAATGGTGTTAATGTTTAACCTCAACCAATCCACGAAATTGCGCGACCATCTTCCATTATACTGAGGTAGACACCTGTTTCTACCCGACACGGATTAAGTAGGGGGAATATAGATGAAACATGTTTTTCCTATCAATAATTTGATACTATCAATCTTAACTACATCAAGTGTTCTTATTGCCAATGAAATATGTGTATGCTATAAAAGTGCGTTTTATTGCTCTCCTCCTCCATGTAGGTATATGGTTTAGGAGAACAAACTAGATCTTTTCAGTATATCAGCGATCTTGTGAATGGTCTTGTAGCTTTAATGGAATCCAATTATACAATGCCTGTTAATTTGGGAAATCCTGTCGAGTTTACAGTGAATGAATTAGCAATCATGGTTAAGAATTTTACAGGTAAGTCCCTTTAAACTAAGGTTTCTTTTTATTTAGTAACCAATCAGATTTGAAATAGGGAGTTTTCGATTTTGGCGCGAAATCCAGTCACTTATATGGTTAAATACCATTTTGGTATCTAGCTGATGCCAGTTCATGATGAAAATTCCAACTTTAATTCATAACCCTAACTTCCAACTCTAAATTTCGATTCCGATTTCTCACACTAATTTGTGACCTTCTTTAAACCCTAGTAGATTGGTATATTTGCTGAAGATCACTTTGTCGTTGCTCAAAGGTCGTCCATAAATTATGGTTCCAACTTGTTACATTAATTTTATAGCTCACCATAATGGTTTTTCATTTTTCAAATGAAACCCCACATAATCACATCTTTCTACGGTAAATGAAACAGTATGTTTCCAGCCTTGTACATATATCTTTAACACTCTGCAACTATACATCGAGATGGATAAATTCGCCGAAACTAATCTCCAATTTCCTTCCTAATTACCTCTACTACTGAGATAACTAAGTGAAGTGTCAGGAATTTTCTCAATTATTATGATGCCATGGGAATTATTGAATCCGGTGATTTTACATCATGCTATGATTCCAGTTGGAGGATCGTTGAGAGCTAGCAAGCATTTAATGTCTGTTTCGTCCCAGTATAGGACTCATCAGTGGTGTCTACCTACAACCTCACCACAAACTCAGAATTGACTTTTGATAATGAAGCAATTAAAGGTTTGTGGTCTTTGAATGAACTAATGATTCCTTTGTACTTGTTGAATGCTTGATTTCGAATTCTAAATGCAGTACATTCGTTCGTGCTTATCGAGTACTTCTTGATCCAATTGCGTTATTTCTGGGATTCTTAGTTCGTACTATAATTCAAATACTCCTAATCATCACAAGGTTTCATTCACAGAGAATATATCAGTTCAAGTTGTTACAGTTCACATAATTACGACGAGATGTCAGTAGGAGTAAACGTCAAAAGTTTTTAAATGTGAAAGAAATCTAGTAGCTTTAATCAATCAATTGTCTATGCTAATCAGTATCTTATGTCAGAATAAACGATAGCCGAGCATATGCTCATTGTATGATGCGATCACCCTTATTCATGCAGGTTATCTATTTCATCAATCAACTTATCATCTCTGCTTAGTACTCTAATGTGTGTATGGTGGATCTAACTTATTTTTAAGGTACAATCTGCAACTGTAATCTAGTGAATATTACTGAATGTGTTCAAGTCATGATTTCTCGTTATTCATCAAGTCGAAACGTTATATTTGAAAAAATAATAATAGAAAATGAATAGATACTTATATTTGCGATCACTCTCACGAGATTACTACGAGATTATTTTAGACGTTTGGAATAGGTATAGTACATAAACCATATATAGTTTCAGTCAGTGAAGCTTGCTTTTCACTCAAGTAAATGGTTTGGGCACTCATATAGAAAGCTTGCACGTTAGTCTCAGAATTGGCCATCATACAAAATAACCATTTGTTTTTTTCTGTTTTCTAACTAACAGACAGCAAAAGTGATATAATTTATCAACCGTTACCAATTGATGATCCTCAACGAAGACAACCTGATATTAGTACAGCTATAAAACAGTTAAATTGGAAACCGACAGTAACTTTACAAGAAGGATTAAGTAAAACTATAATTTATTTCAAAGATATTTTAAAACCATCATCTGAATGTGACGTGCATTAGATAACTTCAAGGATCAAGATTTACATAATGTTGTTACACTGTACACCATTATGAATGTTGAGTTCTTTTCAAATTAAAATTTAGTTTATTATGTATCTTGATGTAAAGTGTCTCTTTTTTTTCTTGTATATTAATTGATAAAAATATAAATATTATGATTGGATGGTATTTGTCTTATGTGCACATATTCTCGATCTACACATTATGTGAAGGTTTAGTGTTAGGGGCGGCCAAACCAAAACGTAGCATCAGTGCTTGAAGTCACTAACTTCTAGTCTGAGCCATGTTGGGAGATGCAGACTACTTGGTTGGGGTCCGCGTGACTATCGTAACCAATGGTTGGAGACTCTTGGTGACATGGCTCAGAATCGATCAGAATGGCGTCAGTGTATACACTCTCTCACTCTTTTCCCTTAAACTATGAGAATAAAATTACTTTACACCTTTCTTTCTACGAACTAATTCTTTCTACCTGTATTATATCCTTATATGAAATCCTTCTTTTATGTATTACTTACTTACTTACTTACTTACGCCTGTTACTCCCAATGGAGCATAGGCCGCCGACCAGCATTCTCCAACCCACTCTGTCCTGGGCCTTCTTTTCTAGTTCCATCCAATTCTTGTTCATTTTTCTCATTTCTATTTCCATTCCCGACGTAGTGTGTTCTTTGGTTTTCCTTTTTTCCTTTGGCCTTGAGGATTCCATGTGAGGGCTTGTCTTGTGATGCAGTTGGGTGCTTTCTTCAATGTGTGTCCTATCCACTTCCAGCGCTTCTTCCTGATTTCTTCCTCCGCTGGGATCTGGTTTGTTCTCTCCCACAGTACGTTGTTGCTAATAGTGTCCGGCCAATGGATCTGAAGTATTTTGAGTAGACAATTGTTAATAAACACCTGTATTTTCTGGAGTCCCTCTGGGGGCTACTGCCGGTCCCAAGCCCGGATAAAGGAGGAGGGTTGGGCATGGGGTTAGCGTCCCCATCCCGTAGAAAACTAACCCGCTAAAAAAACGCTAACCAGAAAAAAAAAGAAAAAATTATTCAAACCTTTTATATATTACTACCATTGAAGTAACTACATTTATGAATTTGGTGTTCATTTTGTTATGCTAATGAGGTGTTGCAACTTGGACCAATGCATATATGTGCCTGATCGTACGTTTTAGCGGACTGACTGACTGAAGGTTTAGTGAAGATGACTTAGTTATCAAGCATGGATAGAACTATTATAGCACATCTACTACAATTAAGTCTGTTTACCGCTAATTTTGTCAAACCCTTCAATTAAAAGACAGTGTTATTTGTACAGTAACAATTTGTCTCTATTTGTATTATTATTATTATTATTATTATTATTATTATTATTATTATTATTGTCTGTATGAACATGAATGCTTGATTACATGTGACAGCTAACGCAGATATCCCTCTCTCTAGCTTAAATGTTAGTTGCTTAAACATCACTTGAATTATTCGCTTTCCCATGTATATATGCTTGAATCCTGTTAATTGATTCGACTCTGAGTTCAGGTTTGTGTTCACTTGCTCCCGCGTATCGTTTTTTCTGCCCAAATTCGCTTGGTGTTCTTGTAGCTTTGTGATCTGCGCTATCCAATAATGGACTGTAGTTTGCGCTTCATGTTGCCTTTTGAACCCATACACCGTTGGGATTTATTTAATAACAGTTATCAAGGTGATTGATGTACGAAACCTAAGGAATTATCTCGAAGCCAAGTCATTACATGTTTAGTTTGAGTGTATCGAATAATCTGTAAGCGTGATAAAACTTGAAAAAGCTATTGTTCAGTATTGATTCAAACACTCATGATTCATCTTTTATCAGGTATAAATATCATGAGCTGACTATGACGCTTTATGGGATAGTATATTTTGCGCTAACTGGCGATACCAACCAGACTAATGGGTCAGGATACCATTCGAACCCGAACAGAAGTCTATAATAATTCAAACTAAAGATAAGCATACGAATAAGAATATCCTCTTTGATAGTCAAATTACATACTCAAAAGTAAAGGGGATTAAACTATTATATATGTTACTATCACGACTAGGCTGACTAGTGTGGGGGAGGGTTGGAAGAAAGTTAGGGACGGCCAAACCAAAACGTGGCATCAGTGCTTGAAGTAACTAACTTCTGGTCTGAGCCATGTTGCTACCAATAGACTACTCGGTTGGGGTCCGCGTGACTATCGTAACCAATGGTTGGAGACTGTAGGTGACATGGCTCAGAATCGATCACAGTGACGTAGGTGTATACATTCTCTCTCTTCCCTTAAACTATGAGATAAAAATCACTTCATATCTTTCTTCCTACCAACTAGTTCATTCTTTCGGTAATTTGTCCTCGTATGCAATCTAAATAAAGACCTATTCACTACTTGTCTGGTTCTTCTATCAATAGCACGAGGGTCACCTAGGGGCACGAAAGATCTAATAAGCCCGTCACAACACGGCTTCAATAGAACAAAATCCTGCAGTACATGTCTAATAAACTTCTTTAACGAGGTTGCTCGCATATATGACCAAAAGAAACTAGTGGTTATACAATATTTCGATATTACGAAAGCCCTTGATAAAGTACCTCATAACCTCCTAATCAACAGACTTCAGTCAGCTGGAATGACGAGCCTCCAGTTGCAATGGATCAAGACTTTTCTCACAAACATACCAAATAACTAAGATTAACTCTACAACATTTACACCTCGACCA